CCCCCCGGACACAGTGCATCAGGTCCAGCACCTTCCTAGTTCCGTCCGCCCCTTGCCTACCTTTCACAAATCCCACCTGGTCGTCATGTACTATGGTTGGGATTATGTTTGCTAACCTGTTTGCAAAGATTTTCGCGAATAGCTTTATATCTGTGTTTAATAATGATATGGGTCTTAGGTTTTGTCCTTTAGTAGGAGGTTTGCCTGGTTTTGGTAATGTCGTTATATGTGCCATCAGCATCTCTCGAGGCATATTGCCTGTCTGCAGCATGGCTTGGTAGGCTTTAAGCAGGTGGGACTCTAGCGTATTGTGAAAGGTTTTGTTGTTCTGGGGTGAGGGTTGGTAGGGTTACTTGTGCCAGGAAATCTGTTATGTCTGCTTTAGTCGGTTGGTGGATGGTGTTGTCTTGTTTGAGATTGTAAAGTCCCGAATAGTAACTTGCTAACTCGTCTGCTATGTGTTGGGGGTTGTAAGTTTTTGTACCGTTTGGTTGGGCAAGGAAGGGGATTTTAGCTTTTTGTCGCTGTTTTCTGAGTCGTGATGCAAGTAGTTTCCCTGCCTTGTTGCCTTGGGCATATTCTCTTGTTTTGAGTTTCTGCATCATATATGTAGTCTTATTGAGGTGCCACTCATTAATCAGTGCTTGTGTCTGGTCTATGGTGGTCTGCAGGGCAGGAGATGGTGAGAGGAAATGTTGGGTAGTGGTGTCCCGCAGTTGTCTCAATAGCGTCAGGAGCTTGGTTTGGGTGGTGTGTTTAATGTGGGCTGCTCTGCTAATAAGTATCCCCCTGACTACTGATTTATGGGCCAGCCATTGGGTCAGTGCTATGCTTTCTGGGGTGTCATTTGTTAGGAAGTATTTATTTCTGTAGTTCTTTGTGTAGTTTCAGTTTGAAGTGTTCATCTGCTAGCAAGGATTCATTGAGCTTCCACGGGGTTCGGCCTCTGGTTTGGAAAGTGTCTGTTAGTGTTAAGGTTAGAGGGGCGTGGTCTAACCACAATATGTCTCCCGTCTTGCATTGTGTTGTTTGGAGGAGGGTTGGGGCTGATATAAGTATATGGTCTATTCTCGAGTGGGTTTTATGTACTTGGGAGTAGTGGGTGTATGATCATTCTCCTGGGTGTAGTGTTCGCCATGCGTCATATAGGCTGAATTCTGATAATAGTTTTGTCATAGATCTACATTGTATTGACCAAGTTTTATGTCTGGGTTGTTGTGGTGTGGCTGAGGTGTCTTTGTCTGGATCAAAGATATAGTTAAGATCTCCACATATTATTATCTCTGCCGTTTGTGGAAGGTCTAATTTTGAGAGTACTTTATGGAGGAAATTCCTCTGATTTGCATTAGGACTGTACAAGTTTGCTATCGAGTATATGTAGTCATTCATTTTGCATATCAATATGATATATCTGCCTTGGCTGTCTGTGTGTAATTTGAGCAATTCAAACGTTTGTGACTTATGAAATAATATTGACACTCCTCTCGCCTTGGATGTGTGTGCAGCGTGCTATTGCATGGGGTAGTCTTTGGTACCAAAGGAGGGGATTTTGGCCTTAACAAAGTGCGTCTCTTGGATACATAGGACGTCGGCTTGGGCCTGTTTTGCGTCTCTCAATAGCATCCTGCGTTTGTGAGGGGTGTTCAGTCTGCGTAAGCCCTGTGTTGTTAATCCTGAGCCGTATATCTGAGCATAGTTTGTCGCTTTTATGCTAGCTTTGTTTTGTTTTTCTTGTACTCTGTGGGGTGTTACAGGTTGCGCCTTACTTGACGATGGGATAGTGGAACCTTTGTCGGAGCTTTGTGTATTGTTTTCAGGTCGTGAGTTCCGGGGGGGATGGGGGAGAAATGGGGTGAACTGTGAATGGGGGTGGGGATTTAAGTGGGGGGTTTAGGGCTATATACAAGTAGTTCCCCTTGTGGGGCGCAGTGTCAACCTTGTGCACTGCGGGGGTAGGAAACACTGTTCCCTATGGGTGGCTAGTGAGCTATTTAACATCATGTTCACTATTTGGTGGGTGTACAAAAGCTGTTTTATGCGGTCTAGGCAGGGACCAAGTGGTGGGTCTGGTCTTGTATCAGCCCTCTGATTAGTACTTAAAACTCTTTGTCTGAGGCCTGTTGTTCTGCCTGGTCTGGTACTGTTTTTTGCGTGAAAAAATTTATTTTATCTGCCTTGGCAGTTGTCTTCTTGGTCTTGTATTGAGACATCTTCAGTAATTAGCGATGTTCCGTGCTTTGTACACCCGGATGGCTTTGGATTCTAAGCTCTGGAGCCGGAGCTGTGGTTTATGCTTCCACCATGCTCTGCAGCTAGCCACGCCCCTAATTCAGCTATTTTGACTTACATTTTGAAATTGACTCTGAAATAAATTGAATTTCTTGAAAAATTTCACTATACTAAATAACCCTAGATATGTTTGCTCAGTGGTTTTCATGTTTCAAAGCATGTAGTATTGGGAATGTAAAGTGATTTTATTTTGTCAAGTTGGCAAAATGGGCTGTGCAGTCATGCAGGCATTTTATTGTTTAACACACACATACACTCTCTCTCTATGTCCCGCTCTGCATTGTGCATAGAACATGTTAGCTAACATTCTTATTGTGTCAGCTTTAATCCAAAGGGAAATTCTTCTGTCAAATAACTATTTTCTCCCAAGCTGTCACAAGAAACAAGAAGCAATATCATTTGACACTTGTCAGCATATGTTGAAATGTAATGCCAAGCGCCGCTTTCATTTGATCGTTTACCTTTGATATTACTGCTTTACCGCTCGGGTACATGTAGGTAAGATTTCTACAATAGTGTTTATTTTAGCAACATGCACAGTCCATCAGTTCTAATAAGTAAGATTAGAGTGTTTAATAAAGCACATAGCCACCTATCCTTAATAACTTCCGAAATATGCTCGACTAATACTGGAGGCTGTTATGCTAACCAGTACAATAATTGGTCATTGTAATTGAGCAGAGCAAGTATAAAATGAGTTTATCTGTGATATTCTATATACTGTATCAATAAGTGACTTGCAAAATGAAAAAACACATTTTTAATATCCCTGTGAGCTATTTAGTCAAGTAATGGGGAAAAAAAATCTAATTTATACTATGGTATCAAGACTTTATGAATATTTTCACTACATTCTAGCATCTGTATAAAAAGAAAAGCCAAAATGCACATTGGGAAGAGAAGATATATGTTACTGGATCATCCTTTGTATAGTTTTGCAGATCACTTCAACTGCTCCAACTAGTTGGTAAGTAGGGCTATCCTGTGTATGTTTGCCTAAAAGGTGACTGAAAGATGGGTTTAGTCACCTCTTTAATGGATAATGTAACAAAACAACCACAAAAAAAATTATAAACTCACCACATCATTTCTTTTTTCACATAATTTCTAACATCATACCAGTTAGGATGTGGTGGATACAATATTTAAGCAATGCAAGGTTTGCATTAAGAATTTATTTATAGGAAGAAAATTGACTTTGACAACGCATTTCGCATTCCTCCCAACATCATTATTGTGTAAAGAGAGACACTCCTGTTTTGACGGTGGGTCTATTTTAAAACATTTTATACCGTTCCTGTAACTAAAATAAGTAATTTATTAAAAGACTAGATAATGTTTTAGACACGTTATTTATTTATGCATTTACTATCATATAAGATGAGGTTCATGTGCTTCTATGTGGTCTCTGATACACAAACACCTACAGGGTAAAATTTGTCAATAGGCAGATTGGGCATGTGCCTGGAGTTACATGTATAATATTGGCACATGCCTTTGCAGTGACAATTGCCATTTTTTGGAATTGTTATTTTTTTTCTTCTTGCTACTGCTTTATCACAAGATTTTCCATTTGGGCATGGAGAGTAGATTCACACCTTTGAATGCGGCTGTGGCATGCAGTCACACTGTGGACATTGATTGAATGCATTTTAAGAGAAAAAGAAAAGGTGTCAGAAGCAGTTTAAGTTCAGTTTGAGTTGCAACTCATAATTTACCAGTTTTGACAATCTGCAGCCAGGGCCGGATTAATATAGGGGCTGATGGAGCTGCAGCTCCAGGCCCAGGCCCAGGCCCATGGAATAGGCCCATTTAAAAAAAAAATCTTTTTTTTTTTATTTATTTATTTTTTTACACAGTACTCTTAGGTTTGCCACCTGTAATGCAGTAATACCAGAAATGCAAATGCAGATATTTTTCTCAGTATAAATGGAGATTACTCTGCAATACCAGCACCAGCCAGCAGAGGTCACTGAGTGTGTGGAGAGAGGCAGGGATAGGAAGTTACAGCATATCCCTTCCTGCCTCTCTCTACTAACTGATCCGCTGGGGAGCAGCTACACAGCACAAAGAGTTCAGACAGCAGCTCCCAGCCTGCAGAGACAGACTACAGCTCAGAAAACATGGGGATACTGAGACACTAGGGGACACTGAGACACTAGGAGATGCTGTGAGACATAGGGACATTGGGAGACACATTGGGACATGGGGACACTAGGGACACAGTGTCTCCATGTCTCACAGTGTCCCTATGTCTCTCAGTGTCCCTAGTGTCTCATTGTCCCCATGTCTCCCAGTGTGTCCAAATATCTGTCTCCCAGTGTCCACATGTCTCCCAGTCAGTGTCCCCATGTCTCCCAGTGTCCATATATCTCCTAGCCAGTGTCCCTAGTGTCTCAGTGTACCTATGTCTCCCAGTGTCCCAAAGTTTTTCAGTGTCCCCATGTCTCCCAGCCAATGTCCCTAGTGTCTCAGTGTCCCCATGGCTCCCAGTGTCCCCTAGTCTCCCAGTGTCTGTGTCCCCATGTCTCTCAGTGTTCCTAGTGTCTCAGTGTCCCCATGTCTCCCAGTGTCCCCAAATATCTATCTACCAGTGTCCACATGTCTCCCAGCCAGTGTCCCTAGTTTCTCAGTGTCCCCATGTCTCCCAGTGTCCCAATGTCTCCCAGCCAGTGTCCCTAGTGTCTCAGTGTCCCCAATTTTTTCAGTGTCCCCATGTCTCCTAGTGTCCCCATGTCTATGTCCACAAGTTCCCCCATGTCTCAGTATCCCCAAGTGTCTCAGTGTCCCCATGCCTCCTAGCCAGTGTCCCTAGTGTCTCAGTGTCCCCATGTCTTCCAGTGGCCTCTAGTCTCCCAGTGTCTGTGTCCCCATGTCTCTGTGTCCCTAGTGTCTGTGTCCCCATGTCTCCCAGTGTCCCATGTCTGTATCCACTAGTGCCCCCTGTCTCCCAGTGTCCCAAAGTTTTTAAGTGTTCCTATGTCTCCCAGTGTCCCTCCCAGTGTCCCAATGTCTCCCAGCCAGTGTCCCTAGTGTCTCAGTGTCCCCAATTTTTTCAGTGTCCCCATGTCTCCTAGTGTCCCCATGTCTATGTCCACAAGTTCCCCCATGTCTCAGTATCCCCAAGTGTCTCAGTGTCCCCATGCCTCCTATCCAGTGTCCCTAGTGTCTCAGTGTCCCCATGTCTTCCAGTGGCCTCCAGTCTCCCAGTGTCTGTGTCCCCATGTCTCCCAGTGTCCCATGTCTGTATCCACTAGTGCCCCGTGTCTCCCAGTGTCCCAAAGTTTTTAAGTGTTCCTATGTCTCCCAGTGTCCCTCTGTCTCCCAGCCAGTGTCCCTAGTGTCTCAGAAGATTTAGTCTTGTGTCTGCTGTTCCAGCTTGCAGGGGATTCAACGGAGAAAGTCCTTGTAAGGAATAGAGCAGGCATAGGCAACCTTTGGCACTGCAGATGCTTTGGACTACACCTCCCATGATGCTTTGCCAGCATTATGGGTATAAGAGCATTATGGGGGATATAGTCCACAACATCTGGAGTGCCGAAGGTTGCCTACCACCTGGACTAGAGCTAATTCCCCATTCAGCTCCAGGAAGGAGCGGTTCCAGTTTCCCAGTCAAGCCACGACAACTGTGGGCAGAAGTGCTATGGTTTGCCCCTGTTCCTGCTATGCTCTCTGGATTAGGAGAGGTCTACCTACTGGAAGCTGGATCCTGGTCTTGGGTCCAGGGAGGGTGGAGGACGACGAGACCCCAACCAAGCTGCGACGGTTTGTGGGGTCTACGGTGGTTATGGTGTTCCAGTTCAGTGATTATGGTACTCGCAAGTACTAGGAAGCAGCGATAGACGGAGGTACCCGGTTGGGGTGCCAGGCGATCCGTTACACAAGGCTACTTGAAACTTGTCAAGCCACTGTGTATGACTCTTTTTTTGATATTTGATAATTTGTTATTCAATCCCACATCTAGTTTAAAGGGGATCTGTCACTTTGCAGGCTTTGCTTTTAAATTAATCATTTTAGTCCTTCTATTTCTCCATGTTTTTTTATACATTTTTATTAAATTTACCTTATTTTTTTGTTATACATAAGAACAAGTAAGGACTACTTTTTTTCTTTGGCACATTTTGGCAGTGGGTGGAGCTTAAGCAATGTTCTATATTAGTCACTTAACTAAATACCCACAAGCCATCAGTCAAAAGAATCCCACACATGTACACATGCAGACAAACAGATGGCAACACTAATATACATACAGTTGAACAGACATGCTGATAAACACACTACCACATATGCAGATACACAGATACAAACACTGCTACACATGTACATACAGATACAGACACACAGATAAACATACACATATAAACACTGACACACATACAGATGTACAAACACACACACTGCCACACATGCAGATACATAGACAAACAGATACAATTATACACCCACATACAGATACAGACACACACGTAGATACACAGACACACATACTGACACACATGCAGATAAACTGACACACACACATAAATACACAGATAAACACACACAGATAAACAGACATACAGATACACACACTGACACACACATAAGGATACATACACATAGATACACACACTCATATGCATACAGATACAATGACATACACAGATACGTGGGCCGGCCCAAGACATTTTTCTGCCTGGGTCCCCCAAACAACGCCACCAAAACACGCCCACATGCATTATGTTGTATTATGATAGTTAAAACTCAAATTAAATATATCATGATTAAATAAATACATTCCAGTAACATATTTAGATAGTTGCACACTAATTTAAACATCACAACATATATGCTTCTGCAGTGGTAATAAAATATTAGCCAAGTACAATATATGCCAATCATTAACAATAATGTGTGTGTGCTGGAGATGTAGTGTGTCTGTGTGTGTGTGCTGGGGATGTAGTTTGTGTGCTAGGGATGTAGTGTGTCTATGTGTGTGATGGGAGATGTAGTGTGTGTGTGTCCTAGGGATGTAGTGTGTGTCCTTGAGATGTAATGTGTGTGCTTGGGATGTAGCATGTCTGTGTGTGTATGCTGGGGATGTAGTGTGCTCGCGCTAGGGATGTAGTGTACGTTTGCTGGGGATGCAGTGTGTGTGCGCTAGGGATGCAGTGTGTCTGTGTGTGTGCTGGGGATGTAATGTGTCTGTGTGTATGCTGGGGATGTAGTGTATGTGCGGGGGATGTAGTGTGTGTGCTGGGGATGTAGTGTGTGTGTGCAGGGGATGTTGCGTATATGCTGGTGATGTAGTGTGTCTGTGTGTGCAGGGGATGTGGTGTGTGCTAGGGATGTAGTGCATCTGTGTGTGCTAGAGATGTAGTGTGTGCTAGGGATGTAGTGTGTGCTAGGGATGTGTTGTGTGCGTACTAGGGATGTAGTGTGCTGCGGAATCTGTGTGCGCTTTATAAATAGCAATAATAATAAATAAAAATAGTGGGTGTACTAGGGATGTCATGTGTCTGTGTGTGCTAAGGATGTCGTGTGTCTGTATGCACTAGGGATGTCTTGTCTGTGTGCGCTAGGGATGTTGTGTGTCTGTGTACGCTAGGGATGTCGTGTGTCTGTGTGTGCTAGGGATGTAGTGTGTGTGTGTTGGGGATGTAGTGTGTGTGCTGGGGATGTAGTGTGTCTGTATGTGCTGGGGATGTGGTGTGTGTGTGTGCTGGGAACGTAGTGTGTTTGTGTGTGTGCTCGGGATGTAGTGTGTCTCTGTGTGTGCTGGAGATGTGGTGTGTGTGCTGGAGATGTACTGTGAGTGTGTGCTGGGATTGGAATTTATATGTCCAGCACACTGTGTGCATCAGTGTTAATTTTGTCAACTAACCATTTTAGTCAGATTTTAGTCGACTACAGTTTTTGAGATTTGGTCAACTAAAACTAGACTAAAAGAAGAACATCTCAGATTACTAAAACTAAAATGGCTTTTGAGTAAAAAAAAACCGAAAACAATTCAGATGACTAAAATATGACTAAAACTAAAATGCACAGACATACAGATATGTACATTGACACAAACACAGAAATACACACTAGTGATGCACCGAACGGTTCGCTGGCGAATAGTTCCTGGCGAACATAGCATGTTCGCGTTCGCCACAGCGGGCGAACATATGCGCGGTTCGATCCGCCCCCTATTCGTCATCATTGAGTAAACTTTGACCCTGTACCTCACAGTCAGCAGACACATTCCAGCCAATTAGCAGCACCCTCCTACCCTCCCACCTACTGGACAGCATCCATTTTAGATTCATTCTCAAGCTGCATGCTTAGTGAGAGGAGGGAAAGTGTAGCTGCTATTGATTTGATAGGGAAATGGATAGCTAGGTTAGTGTATACAGTGTCCACTACAGTCCTGAAGGACTCATCTGATCTCTGCTGTAAGGACAGCACCCCAAAAAGCCCTTTTTAGGGCTATAACATCAGTCTGCTTTTTTTTTTTTCTGTGTAATGTAATTGCAGTTGCCTGCCTGCCTGCCAGCTTCTGTGTCAGGCTCACAGTGGATACTGTGCCCACTTGCCCAGTGCCACCACTCACTCACTGGTGTCACAATAGCTTGCATTTAAAAAAAAAATGTATTTCACTGTAATAGATTGAATAGCAGTTAGTTGTCTGCAAGCGTCTGTGTGTCAGGCTCGCAGCGTATACTGTGCCCACTTGCCCAGTGCCCCCCCTCATTATTTTTATGGCCCCCACCCAACGCTCACGGGTGGGGGCGGGCGGGAGGACAGTAGGTCCCCCCCATTGAGATTTATGGCCCCCACCCACCGTGCAGGGGTGGGGGCCAGGGGGGGAGGACAGTAGGTCCCCCCTTATCCTTATTTACTGAATATTCCCCTGTATAACAATGTTTGGCATTTAGTGAATATTCCCTATTCTGCTCCCCCTCATTATTTTTATGGCCCCCACCCAACGCTCACGGGTGGGGGCGGGCGGGAGGACAGTAGGTCCCCCCCATTGAGATTTATGGCCCCCACCCACCGTGCAGGGGTGGGGGCCAGGGGGGGAGGACAGTAGGTCCCCCCTTATCCTTATTTACTGAATATTCCCCTGTATAACAATGTTTGGCATTTAGTGAATATTCCCTATTCTGCTCTGTGTCAGTGTGTATCAGGGATCCTTAGGACAGGTGTCAATCCATATCTGCCAAGTGACCCTATGTAGGGGGAACAGTCCTATTCTGCTCTGTGTCAGTGTGTATCAGGGATCTGAGGACAGGTGTCAATCCATATCTGCCAAGTGACCCTATGTAGGGAGAACAGTCCCTATTCTGCTCTGTGTCAGTGTGTATCATGGGATCTGAGGACAGGTGTCAATCCATATCTGCCAAGTGACCCTATGTAGGAGGAACAGTCCTATTCTGCTCTGTGTCAGTGTGTATCAGGGATCTCTGAGGACAGGTGTCAATCCATATCTGCCAAGTGACCCTATGTAGGGGGAACAGTCCCTATTCTGCTCTGTGTCAGTGTTTATCAGGGATCCTTAGGATAGGTGTCAATCCATATCTGCCAAGTGACCCTATGTAGGGGGAACAGTCCCTATTCTGCTCTGTGTCAGTGTGTATCAGGGATCCTGAGGATAGGTGTCAATCCATATCTGCCAAGTGACCCTATGTAGGGGGAACAGTCCCTATTCTGCTCTGTGTCAGTGTGTATCAGGGTCTCTGAGGACAGGTGTGAATCCATATGTCAAGGTGTCAATATGTCATATGTCAGGTGTCAATCCATATCCATTGTGATTTAGGAATGTTAGGTGATTTATGCCCTTTATGGATTAAGATCAGACTCTGCATCAACTGTGTAATTTTCCATGGGAGTTTTGCCATGGATCCCCCTCCAGCATGCCACAGTCCAGGTGTTAGTCCTCTATTGTGGCCAGAAAGAGTCCCTGTGTGTTTTAAAATTC